TTGTGGAAAACCGAGCGCCCTATGGAACCATCATCCTCTCTAAACATGAGGAAACAGAGCAGCATAACAAGCTCCGGAGACCGGAATGGCCATTTCTGGCGTTGTGATCCCTACACGAGCCGCGTGGTAGGTTTACTGGGCCAAAACGGGAGCTAAAGCAGGGCGCTGCAAGTGTTAGTCATGAGTTATGTTCCCATAAAAAATGCCCAACATGACGGGCGTTGGTGGCACACGTTAGTGCAGGCACATGCCGCACCAGCCATTTGTGGCTTTTACGGCACTCCCACTTCTGAGTCAGGCGTGGCAGCTCCGACCGTGCGTGCTACATGCACTCCCGGTCCCACCTCTGGTCTTCTTAATTTGGTTATGGCAATCGGTGAGAGAAGAGCGAGAGAGAAAGAAAGTGTGGCAGATGAGGAAAAAAGTCCACGACCACTTAGAATTAATCCACATGTAAATCACCGTCCCTGCACCACCGCCACCACCAAGCTGTGACACACACGGTGGATCTCGTTGCCATTGACGTTTGAACTGGGTGTGACTATTCACAGTAATTAGATTAATGCCTCACAGTCAGCTTTGTGGTTAGAGTGATGGGGAGTGGACTCGTAGTCAGTCCTAAGGGTTCCTTAAAGCAGACTCTGTGGCGCCACCACTCAGATAGGATGGAGACCGATGGCCTCTTGTCTTTATCGAAACGCGGTTAATCATGCGAGGACTAGGTCGTGTGTGACAAGCATAGATGGGCTGTTTAACTTTGTCACAGCAAGTACGCCCGAACTAACCTCCGGCTGCCTTGAAATTGGCTTACCCTTGAAGCCAATTGGGTGGGGGCCGTAGCCTTGAAGTCTGTATGCAAACCAAACGAAATAAATACGCAGGTCACCAGATCAGAGGACGGCAGGAATATTTCGTCAAAATCCACCTGGTCTGATGATTATATAATCTCTTTTGTTGTTTGGAATCTGCTTGTGAAAACGTTAATTCAGCCGATGTTCTTTAACGTTTAAGGGCATGGTGTAATTATCACGGGACTGAAAGCCAAGCCACTTGACTAAGCGCCTACATTTATGTTCGTGTTCACAACAGCGAAAGACATCGCCATTAATATGACAGTTTTTCAGTTGGTTTGTGCAGTGATTCTTAATTGAATCTGACAGGGATGAAAAAAATCATACCAAACAGTACTGAATAACCAACGCATTCGTCATTGTGACAAACGTGATGTGGTTGAATCCAGCATGACGCATTAGGAGTCTTTGCTTGGAAGGTCGCCAACTCCTCTGCTAGTTTAGATATTGTGGGCATGTTGAGATTAACTGGAGGACTGAGAGACTAGCTGCAATAAGGCCTTCTTAACGTAGCCTCTATGGAATCCCCATTTACGTGAGATCCTAGCTGATTTCACCAAAGCACTGTATATTATGCGAGAACTAGGTCGTGTTCGATACGCATATATTGGCTGTCGAGATCTATCGGTAACCACGCCGGAGCTCGCCTCCAGCCATCCTGACTATTTCTGTCTACTGGGCCCAGGTAGTTGAGAGAGGAGAGAGCGCAGCAGATTCCGCGCAAATGGGCTATCGTTACAAATTAGTTCATGAGCTAGTCGTTGTCCTGCCTCCGCTTTGTCGTGAACACACGGTAAAAATCGTCCGACCCGGCGGTTGAACTGCTACTACCCCCAGCCTGTCATAGGAAACGGTCTAATTCCATTTACGTACCCTTGTTTGAGAAAATCGACTACTATTTAAATTTGTATTTTTGGGATATTATTCTACATCATACGTATAATTAGAAAAAAGGGGAATGCATTCACCCCGACTGGTATACTTATATCCTCACGCTTAAAATCACCAACACGGTTTGTATGCACGTTCTGCTCGAAATGTCCTTCACCATTAAGGACGGTGGAGGTAAAAAGGGCCTTCGTTTCGCTTTGGACTTTGGCCGCCTCGCCTGACTGCCAGTCAGCTGGAGAGGTTTACTTGGTTTCTTGTAGCCAGCTTCGTTACTTTAGCTGTCAGAATGTTCATAATGTGTGTCTTTGGACGGACCTCTCTGCCCTCCGTGCTGGGCGCTGTGGCATTGAGTTTTGGAGGATGCTAGTCCCAATTAGTTGACGACTTAGTGTTCCTTTACTTCCAGCCCGCAAGGCAAACCTTGTAAGGTTAGAGCTCGGACAGCACAAAAGTGCCCTGCGCCAAAAACCTTTCTTACGGTGCAGCGCAGCCCTTTTGCGCATCACTGTGGTTTCTGTCAATTTAGCTCATCAGATAGTTTTACCTTTCAGGTGTATTTGCGCGCTTTGTTGGGGGGATGATCGAATTGTATGGTTTATTAAAGCAAGCATGGTGGTTTTGGACGTCAGTTTCATTTTATTTCCTTCTGATGATATTCGTCTTTTTGAAACCACTCTTTGTAGAATGGCTCCGTTGTTGTCGCCGATCTGGGACTGGCTTTACTGACGCGTCCTCCAGAAGTGGTACGTGATATCCACGGTTATGTGAGGACAACGGCACCAACCTGTCGTATGGGGGAGCGATACTTCTTTGCTGGGGGCACCATCAAGGAAGTCTCTTCTGATGAGGATGCACAGCCGGAATACGAAGTTCATCCCAGCCTCTCTCCGAACTGCCAACGACGAAAGAAACGAAATTATCGAGTTGTAAGTTTAATTTACTCAGTAGAGTATTTGGTCTCTTCTAAATGCCTTCAACCAACCTTTAGCAGCGTTAAGTAATTGCTTGCCAAAGTCACTGCAACGAACATTGGGTATAATCCTACTTTGGGTCTCAGATCAGCACGCGAAAGCCCCATCCTTCTGTAATGCAAGAATCCGCGTAATACAGAGAATCCAGTCTGGGCGGTAAAA